TATCACACTTTCCATGGCTTGACCCTGCTTACTGCCCTGTAAACATGTTTTATAATATATTTGTATGCGAGTACGGCTGGCTGTTTGCTCAGACCAAGAACTGCCTCCCCGCCCCTCAACGAGGATTAGGGCACCATCTTTAGAACTTTCTGGAAATGATAGCAGGGGAGCGCTGCCTCAGTATTTTGTTGCCCAAGGCTAGTTAAGAGGAACTGCAAGCTGCCAAAGGATCCAATTTCAGGCCATTTCGCTCCCTAAAAAATTTGTCTGAAGTGGAAAATCACACCTGATGGCCCACTAGCATGGCTTTTAAGCCACTAGATGGTAGTATGGGAGTCTTTGTACAATCAATTTTCTGAAGTAAAGAAAAGGTACTTTTGATAAAATAAAAGGAGAGGTTGGACAAAAGTTCAGATGGCCATCACTTCTCTTTGGTATGATCCTTCTTTTTTTATGTCATGGATCATTTCCTTTGCAGTACGCTCAATGAAAGACGGGACTCTACCAGTGGAGGACGCTGAATTCATGACGTGCAGCCAGTGTCGAGGTACACACTTTGATTTGTGACATGCAGGGAGACGGGAGGGGAGAAAGAGAAGAGGAAGAGGAAGCATGTGGAACAGAAACGCAGTGTCCCGCTGTGGTAATTTGCCTTGGGTCTTATAGAGCTTACTTTCGCTGCTGGCAGAGTCATACGCAGGCTGATATGGGAAAAGGAGAAGATGTGGGAACAGCGTGAGGAGCCAGCAGAGTGTTTTGGCTTTTACTTATAGCTTCAGAGGAAATAAAGAGTGAGATGTAGGGAAGGCTGGGAGTGGAGTAGGATTTAACTGCACGTAATACTCAAACAAAAGGTAAGGCGTGTGCGCTGGCTCCGGAGCACACATCACTGCGTGAACGTGAAAAAGCTGAGGTCAGTTTTTATGGGTGTGCAGCAGTTTTGAGCACACATAAGCGCCTGTGACACCTTTGGCAGTGCCAAGAGCCCACACATCAGCCGGCTTTGACAGCATGCCTGGCACATGCCTGAGGGGCTGGGAAACTTCCCTTCTATAATTGCATCCCATGTCAACCTGTGACAAGTCAGGCTCAACCAGCAAGGGAGCTCACTAATCACCGGCCAGACCTCCTCCATATCTTTTACCCCCCTCCCAACGCTCAGCCCTCGATTCTTACCCGTCCACACTTTCACACAAAAGGAACACACTCCCAATCAAGCGATCTGTTGTTTGCATCTGTTGGGGTAGCACCCCTGAGCAAGCCATTACATCCTCCTCTCAGCACCTGATGCCATCAGCATGACTCTGCAGTCAAAGCAGCTCTGTCTCATTAGTCCTGTTCTTAAGGAGTGTCTGTTAATGAAGCAATTTCCCAAGTATACCATCTGTTAGTCTCACCGGCGCTCTGTCGCTGACACATTTTACTCATTTAATGTTAATTACAGCAAATTTGTTAAAGTTAGTTGGGGGATGAAATAATTTTCTCTCCACTCTTCAAGCCTCAGTAGCTGGGGATTCATGAGCTCCTTCACACCTCCCAGGAAGAACCAGCGAGACCGACAGATCCACGGTTCTCCATCTGTGGTATTTAGGCTGCTTTTAATGGTTCTCACAAGATATTCTGGTTCCAAGTCGCTGGTAACGATAAATGTATAATTCTTATATTTTACCTTTAATTATACACGTAAATCTAACTGAGACAGATGGCGAAGTTTTCAAAATAACCAGTTTAACAGTATTGTTAAATCAGACAATGTGTTAGACAAATTATCTGAGAATATGAAATAAAACCAGGAGGCAGCAGTTGTGTGTGTTGTCATTAATAGGGTGTTGCTTTGTTTAACGCACACAGAGCTGTATAACAGTATCTCCTAACCTACAGATTTAATGTTTGGCTGCTTTTTGTCACACTTGCATGTTTCAGATCATCAAATTGATGTTAATACAGAGATATGGATATTAAAACTACAGGTGGGCATCGCTACATGTGAAGTTAGTTCTGCTAACGCTAAATTACTACAACTGTACAGATGTTAACTGAAGCTAATGCTAAAGCATTAACCTTAAATTATATATGCCTTTGAAAGAGTCCAATCGAACCCTTAATTTGTTTGGACTGGCCTTGTTTGTGCATGGTTGTGTGTCCTTTGTGTCTCTGTGTTAAAGTGTGATAAACTGGCGATCTGTTCAGGTTGTACCAACCACTCACCTCTGACTGGCACAGGTAGGAACCTGCTTCCTGTATGGATTACGCAGAATGCAAAATGATTGGATGCTACTGTAAAAACAGACGTTGATTTGAAGGCTTTTTACACACCTTTGCCAGGTATCAGTCACCACAGGCAGTTTCAACAATGTGATTTTGGACCAAGAGGAAATTGGTTGAATTGCAGGTAAAGGTGTGTTGGTGAAAGTCTGCATAGTCAGAAGTCCTCTTGATCTTTGGCGTAAGATATCAGCATGTGTGTGTGTGTATGTGTGTGAGACCACATCTTTGATCTGTGGTGAATGATGTGTGTGAGTAAGTGAGAAAGCGAGCGACACGGTGCGGCTGCCTCCTACCTCCTACAGATTGAGGTGAGAGCAGCCAGGTGGGGCTCGGTCGTGTCTGTGCGCCACAGTAACTGGATGTGATGGCTGGCCTCTGGGGATCTCTGCCTTAGAAGTGCTAAACGAGCGAAGCAGAGCAATCACACTGTTCCTGGATGTGTGTGTGTGTGTGTGTGTGTGTGTGTGTGTCGCGAACCCACACCCTCCTTTATATGATAGTGAGTTGGCTTTCCTGTCGACTCCGAGTGGGTGTGCGTGTCTCCAGTAAAGGACGCTGCATTTATCTGGGGTCTAAATATAATCACTATGATAAGATGAAAAAGCTGAAAATGTTTTTAAATGTTGCCAGGTAACAAGCCCTTTACATAGCAAATCCCCAGCATGGCCGCAGGTCACTGCGGTGATTCTAAATGTTGCAGACAGTCCACATGTGGTAGCTTGACTCCAGTTAGAAAGGTGGTAACAAGACACTGGTTCCAGTCTAAACATTGCAACCTCAAGCTTCTTCAACCTCCTCCACTCACCTTGCCTCAATGTGATTGTTAGCCTGAAGCCCCAGAAAGGGCAAACTACCCCCGTACCCTTCATTAACCACATGGAATTGACATAATTCAATTAACGAGCAAAAAAATTCCCTCCCCAAGAGAGGAGAAAGTGTTTGTGTACATTTCTGCCTTTTGCACACCAGCTGTGACTCTCCGCGTCCTCATGCACGCACTTGGATTACACGTGCGACCTGCTAAATGAGCTCTCATGCCTACGAGAGCAAAACAAACGAGTGTGTGTCACAGGTTGCGTTCTTGCCGCGGGCAAACCGAGGCCCCGGAGGTGACACTACTGAGGCCTCTGTTTGCACCGGAGCGCCGCGTACCCTCGCCCTCCCGCCCGCCGCATCGCGTGCCGCCCAAGCCGAGGTGAATGCCAAGAAGTCTCCGAGCCACTCCATCAAGCAGCGACCCCCTCCCTCCCCACGGGAACAGCAGCCAATGAATTACAGATTAGATCATTGTTACAGGATCATAACAGTGATCTAATTGCCAATTTCTCTTTTTAATTGAATTTGGTGGAGTGAAGAGGACGGAGATGGGATTCATGGGACACTGTGTGGAGCCGATTGGAGCCGGTCTGCTGTTGACCGGGTGCAACACTTAATGAGGGGAAAAAATCCCGCCGCTTGACATTCGGCTGCAAACTGGGCGTCAACTGCAGAAATGTCAGGCTTAATATCCTTGACAGTGGCTCTTGTTTGGACTGCATCTTGTTTTTGAGGTATTTTGGGTGTGGAATCAGTCAGATTCTGTCCACAGTGTCATGAATCCCAGTTATATTCTGGATTCATTCTGAACGTTCTGATCTCTGCAGATGTCCTGAGTGTTTTTTCCTTTTTCCAACCATTTTTTGGTGCCCTGTGAAACTTTAACCTGCTGCTCTCTGACCCAGGCAGAGCTAATTGGAGTTTGTCTCGGTCTCCATGCCTTCGCCCGGCCTTCCTCAATCCTCCCTTCTTGAAATGCCGTTTCCAGGCTACCCTGCCAGCTACCTTTAAAAAAGTCACAGTGTCAAAATAGCCAAAAATATGTTCAGAAGCTACATTTTTATTAGCTGTGTTGAGCTGAGTAAAAAAGTAGTGATACTTTCCTCATGAAACCCAACACAATGGATTGCTGCTTGGGGTTTAATGTGATGTGGAAAATCATCAAAGGAGGTAAATACTACTCTGCAAAAGCACTAAATCTTACCAAGTATTTTTGTCTAATTTCTAGTTCACATATCTTAGTACACTTAAAATAAGACAAACCTATTATGCAAGTAATGTTTCAGCAGGACCAGGAGCTGCATTCAGGTCAATAACTCCTTCAGTACTAGTGACAGATTATTTCACGTTTAACGAGACATTTTATGAATTAAATAATCGGCTGGTTGAACTAGTACTTTAAAAGAAATCAACAGTAGACAATTATTGACTTGTATCAAGCTCCTATTTCTTGCAAAAAGGTTATTTGTAAGTAGGTTTTGTCTAATTTCAAATGTACTAATAGATTTTCACTAGAAGATTTTGTGTTTTTGCAGTATTGAGTGGCACTGAAGCTATCAAAATCAAAATGAAAAATGTACGTTAGATTATTTTAGCATGAATAAGATGATATTTTTCAGTGAGAGTCTGATAGGTGCCCATGATGTCTGTCCAGTCTGACCATAAATGAGCTCAGAGTGTTGTCTGATTATAGCTGGGTTATATTAGATGAGATAAGTTAGCCCACATCTCCTCATCAGCCGTACGTGAGAGCTGACAAGCCCAATACATCTACGGCCGCTATGGTAATTGAGATGGGGAGGTGAGGAGGGTGTGTGCGTGCGTGTGTGTGTGTGTGTGTGTGTGTGTGTGTGTGTGTGTGTGTGTGTGTGTGTGTGTGTGGGAGCCTCCCTCTGCCTCCTGATCCTCAGTACCTGTCATTGATGAGGAGCCAAGGAGAAGCTTCAGCTTGGAGCTGTCATCGGCCCTCTGAACACATCTGCCTCTCTCTATCAACCCTCCCTTCCTCTGTCTACGAGCGCGCGAGCGTGTGTGTGTGTGTGTGTGTGTGTGTGTGTATTCACGGCGAGTGTGTTGTGTTTCTGCAGAACTCGGTGTTGGAGGTGTTTGAATCGGAGCAGACGGACTGGGATGCAGGCACCGCCGAGACCGACGCTCCCTCTCCCGGACTGACAGGCCAATCGCAAGCCACCGTTCGCCCTGCCTCTGAATCCCTCTCTCTCTCTCCCTCATCCTCTCTCTCTCTTCCTCTCTCTCTTTTTCTCTCTCTCTCTCTCCAGTTTCATTCCTTAGCGCTCTGCTCGTGTATCCCCTCCTCCTCTTCCTCCTCCTCCTCCTCACACCTTTTGGTCAGAAGAGGAAGAGGAAGCCCAGCCCAGGGAGAGACGCTGAGAGGATGAAACTCTGACACGCCGGCAGACCACAGGGAAACAAGAGCACAACTGTGAGTACAGCGGTCCTTTCACCTCTCACTCAGGCTTAACGCTGTCACACACACTTTGTGTCACACACACACGTGTCTGGCGCTTTCACTTCAAACACTCCACTGACTTCACTCCACGCGCTCGCCATCCATCCTCTGCTCAAGTGTCTTTGTCTTTTCCAGGCGGGCAAAAATAGAAATCAAAAGAACTGCATTTTCTCTCTCTCTCTCTCTCTCTCTCTCTGTCTCTCTCTGTCTTTATGTGTTGAAGCGTGTTTATTTCTGTGTTCCTGCAGCTGACACCGTAGTCAGAACCAAACACAAGCATAAACAGTCCAGAGGAAGTCTGCTGTCTACTTTTTGGACACTTGTGTTTTAATCTGTCTTTGTTTCTCACATTAAAACAGAAGGTCTGGATGTGTGGAGCTGCTTTTGTCTGCGCACCTCTCGTGTTTTTATTGGCAATAAAGGAATGTGGGATCGCCACATGAGGGGAAGCGAGGCTGTTTTTATCTCCCATCCTAAACGTATAAGCTGCTGTAACCAATAGAAAGGGGCGTACTTTCTTCTCAATGGCACCGTCCCCGCTGCTTATTATTTAGCTCTCAGCCGGGGGTGATGGGGGATTGGTGGCATGGGGAACGGGGACTGAAATGCTCCGTTTGCGTCACACTATTTTCTGATTATTCTCTAGTTCATCTCTGGCTGAGGCGATTTTCCTATTTCCTTCTCCCATTTTGAGAGAGCATAATAGGAGCTCAAACACACGCGGGGAAGTGCAGACAGTGGATCTGTGCAGAGGACACAGATTGCATTCCCTCCGGAGAACGCTTTGCTGTATTAAAGGCACTGGAGGGGCTGCTCGGCACTTGTCATCAGCTTGGCCGGTAATGCCGGCGCGGGGAGCGACGCAGATGGCGTGTTTACGGCCGCTCTCTGATTTAAAGAGCTCCCATTGGCCCTAATGCCTCCGCTGCACGGCTCTGGCCCCATGCATTCCCGGTTATTACATCTGTAAAGCCCTGGATATTGTGCAGCACTTCACTTGCCAAGACGGTCTGATGAGCAAATGTAGAAAATGAAAACACATATATGTTAAACACCCGGCAGTATATTAGATTTGCCGCTGAGCTCCAAACTCCTGGAGTGAGAGATGAAGCATTTGCATTTTTATGATGTGGCTCAACGTGGATTGCTTTCCCCCTCCTCACATCTATGTTTAAAACTCAATCACAAGTACGCCGAGGTTTGCTGTTTGCAATTACATGTCTTGTCGTTTCTAATTCTAATGATTTTCTGGCATGTTCCGCCGCCATAGGTGATATTTTTCATGTTTTCCGAGTTGCAGAATCTAAATGAGGGATTGATTTGGAGCGTTAGAAACACGCGGCGGCTCTCGGGACCCGGCGAGCCTCCGGTTGCAGATGTGTCAGCAAAACAGAATAAAAAGGCCGAGATTGACATCCCGGTCTGCCCGGCCTTGGCAGGTTTTCTGAACCCTGGTGGTTTAAAACAAGAGCACACTCCATTAAATCAAGGTAAACAAGACAATTATGTGTCCTTTTCTCCTCTGGTTGCTCCCAACTCTCTTCAACACTGAAAAACCCAAAATCTTACCAAGTACTTTTGGTCTGCTTTCTAGTCAAATGTCTTGAAATGAGACAAAACCAACTTAAAAGTAATTTTTCTACAAGATGTAGCTTGTTTTAAGTCAGCAATTACTTAAGTTCTAGTTCTACTGAAAGATTATTCCACTTTCCCATATATGTTTACCTAAAAGTGTATGTTATATGCAATTGTTGATAGAAATTTTAAACTTTTCTACATTCCTGTCTCATCAAGCCGTGCTACCTTTTATTTAAACAAGTGACTGATTGATTTTCTTTGTTTATTGTAATTCTTGTTTTGTGTTTTACATTGCTACAGGTTTGAACATCGCAAGTTACTTAGTTACTCTGAGTAAATGTAACTTCACCTGCTACACTGCAAAAACACAAAATCTTACCAAGTCGAGTTTGCAATGCAAACATACACTTGAAACTTGTTCTTTTTTATGAATGTTAAGCAATGTCTGACCAAAAATAAGCTCCTATATCTCATTGAAAAGTTACTTATAAGTTAGTTTTGTCTTATTTTTAGTTTGTGTTTTTGCAGTGAACAGGTGATCAGTTCAGACTTTAACATTGCAACAGAAACTTTGGAGAAAATTGGAGCGGAGGAAGATTACAAAAGCCACATCACAAAAAGTAATTTAAACTCCCTCAATTAATGCAACTCTCATTTCCGAGTTGCCTGTGGCCTTCATGTGAATTGTATGTAATTTAAATGCAGAGAGCCCGTCTGCGTCTGACGGAGTCGCTGACCAATTTAAATGGGGCTTTTCCTCATTGTGTCATTGTGCTGAAATGTATTGAGGAAAAAGTTAATAGCCTTTTATGCAAGGAAACATATTTAATTACACATATCGTTCAGTGGTACCCCAGAGGTGCTGTTAACTTTACTCTGAGCTGTGCAGTTATTAGACGGCTTGTAAAAGCGAGATAAGCTCCTGTCACACCATATTTACTTCCATCAGCGTGTGTGTTTATGCACTTATTGATTAGATAGTTGGTTACCAGTCTTGACCATCAATACACATCCCTACAAAGTGGGGACCAGATAGTCTCCCAGTCTCCCTGAAGGCTCAATTACACAGCATGCACCAGGAAGCGGGTGGGGGCTCCTGACAAGGTCGAATTATATATGTCAGCTTTAAATCATTTATTCAGTCATGTCTGAATGTATAAAGAAAGACACTTTCAGGGAGTCAATAAATGTTGCATGCTGCTGCTTTTTAAACATTTTAATCAGATTTTGTTTCTGATTAAATTATATCCTCTGGAAGCTGGGCTTCAGCAGCTCCTGGGTGTTTTCCTCATTTTCTTCTCTTTTTGCCCTGAAAATCTCCAACTAACTTATTGATATTGGAATCCACTAACTGCACATCTTGAATAATGAGAAATTGAATTTCACTAATTTGCTGAAATCTGGCTAGAGATGCAAACCGACCGCATGGCTTCCACTTCTGACACTTGTGGTGCCGCTGCTGTTGCAAAGCATGGAGGTCAATGCTGCTTTTCATGCTTTGTGAGGTTGTTTCCTTTCTTATTGTCACACACTGCATTCAACAGCCTGTTTAAAAAATCATGAATAGCAACAATCCACTGATGAAGGACATGTGGTGCAAATATTTAAAACACTTTTTTCTTTTCCTGTCAAAGAGAAGCCAGAAAAAAAAGTTGATTTGCTGACAGCTTGGGAGGGATAGCCTTGCTTTACAGAAGTATGCAAGAAAAAGTAATTGCAGGGTTGAAGACTCATTGATAAAATACTGAAGAGTTGTAATCTGACTCAAGATTCATGTTTTGTTTTGTTTTTTGTAGATTTGGTATTTGTTAACCATCTACAAACACGAACAGAGCAGATACAGACATCAAAATAAAAGCTGGAGATTAAATATATTCCACATGCCCTTTGGATCCTTTACATGTTATTGTAAATTTTGTGCTTGTGCACGACTCTCTATGACAAAAGGACAATTTTTTTTACATTCTAGCCGCGCTGCTGAGGTGGAACGATCCGTTAAATGAAACCTGGAGATGCAGGTGTTATTAATTTAGACAAGTGCCTCGAAGCAAAGGGAAAAATAACAGAGAAAACCGTTGAAGAACAACTCAAAACGACTATTTTCTACGTCTCTGTGTCGGCTATGCTACACGCAGACCCGTTGCCATAGCAACCGACAACAATGCCACCACATTGTTTCAGGATTTAACACCGAAAAACGCTCAAACATTCCCACACAAAGAGCAGACATTCAGTCCGTTACAGTTTCATGATTTTAGTCTTCATGTTTATTTTGCGATCATCGATAAGTGATCGCTGTGGTAGATTAGCTGTCGCTGCTGTTGGCTCATTTAAACACCTGCTCTGCTGACGATCTGTCAGAGTTGGTGTTCAGGTCGTCTTCTTTTATCTTTTAACTGAACCGAAACGCATCTTATTCCACCTCACATCTACATTCTGCTTCCCTCTCCTTCAGTATTTTCTTCTTAAAACTTTTTCTTGACCTTGTTATCTAGTTGACAATTAGCAGCAAAGCTCTGCATCCATTTTTCTTTTATATCAGTCAAACGTTTAGGATTTATGTTGATAACAGCTGAAACCAATGCTAGTCATTGTGAGCTTGCAGCTTTTTTTGGAGATGTGGGCAGGATCTTTCAAACGTGACATCACACTGCAAGGAGTCCATATAAATACTTTGATTTTTTTGCAGTGTGGATCCAGGTGGGTTGTGATGCTCATGCATCCCATCACCAGCAGCCGTTCTTGCATTAACTTGGTGTGGAGTGCTGTAGTAAGTGAACATCTGGATGGGATATGGTGATATGAACATAAATTGTTATCATAAACTATTACTCTGGAAGATTATTTAACTCTTAACATATAAAAATATCTTGTTATAAGTGAGATGACAGTGGAACTAGTTCTTTTTTATCAGTAATGGGGAATTATCGACTTAAAATAAGCTTCATTGTATTGATGAAAAGTTACTTGTAAGTCGTTGTTGTACTTTAAGTGCACTATGATATTTGCAGTAGAAAATAGACTCAGGAATACTTTGTGTTTTTTCATTGTGTGTTTCATTATGCAGACTGACTTCATTCTTTAGAGCGATCCTGTGCATGAAACCGTGTCGGACTCTTTGCAGATTGGCACAGCTTTAGTCAAAAATAGACCAGGTGCATATTTTTAGCGCATTGTGTTGCACTAAAAATATATTTGTGTTTGTCAGCAGCATGGTAATCACTGAGTCTTGAGGTAGTGAGGGCTGCCTTCTCTCACAATGAGCAGCAGAAATGCAGGCTCCTTCTCTTCGCCAGATGATTTCAGTAACGTGAAGCTTTGCTCTTGTCAGCACCGCGGACGGCGCGGCTTCCTCTTGATTTCCAGCTTTGACATGTCCCACCCTGCAAGTTGAC